ACCATAGAGTTGGTTGATATGCTCAACTGTTTTGCTGTTTCTCTGTGGCTCCTGAGTGACTGAATGTGAGCCTTGCTGGCATCCTTGGCATTAGCTTCTTGGTCTAGCTTCCAATCTCTCTTTCCATGTGGTTTTTCCTGCATCTTCTGCATTATTTTATAGATTTTTCACCCTGTTTTCATATGGAAATAATTCAATAATAATGATGTTGTGTTGGTGATGATGATGATGATGATGATGATGGTCATTTATGTATTTTTGCCAGCAACTACACAACTTCAGGGAAATGCACATCCTAAACCGAAGTCTTGATTCAAACCAAATTCTGCTTTTACTACAGAACTCTTAAGTTTTTCCATTGGGACCCTCCCAGCTCTGCACTGTTTTGGCTTGGGTCAGATGGTTGAGAGGGAACAGTGCATTATTGAGAAGTCATTGACTGGGAATATTCTGAAGGTGTTCTCTCTTTCCCCAGCCCATCCTGGCATCTCTTCCCTCTTCATCTAGCCTACCTGCAGGCAAAATAGATCCTGTCAATCACTGATCCTTATCTAATAAACTTGTCTGACACAACCAGTCATGGGATGGATCAACATGACCATTAACCATGTCTTTAGCACCATTGTTACTTGGTTCTTTTCCCAACCTCCTATGTGACTTCTCACAGTTACTAAGTCCCTCATGGTATAATTTCTAGATCATCTTTAGTGTCTTTGTACATACAAGTAAGATATTTATGGAAGAGTTTGTCTTATTATTTTCACCTCTGAAGGCTGTGGGCAATTGCCTTTTCTTCCTCCTTCTCTTAAGGCAAATGCACGAATGGGGGCAGAAATCAGGTATCTGAAGGTAGATGGCAGCCAACCTTAGGGTTTCCAGTGCGAAACACTGGTGAAATATGCAGGTGTGGATGAGGAGTGAGGAGAGGGCCCAGAGACCCATGTGAGCTGTGGGAAGCAGCAGTGTGGGTTGTAGAGTTGCTCCACCAGGCAGACCTCGCTCTGAATCAGCTGTGTTGAAATCAACGTCTGAGGAGCCAAGATTTCTGCGTTCTAAGCCTCCCCATTTTCTCCTCTTATTGATTGTGATCTTAATTCACAGTAATTTTTGTTCCTTTTTCCGGGCTCCTGATAGAAGGGTGCATCTCAGGGCTGCTGGCATCATTTGATTAATTAATATCAAGTTACTCCAGGGCTCAGTGATGCCACTGTAGCACCTCCCAGTGGGAACAAGGGCTGCTCTCCTCTCCATGGCTACTTACAAAAGACAGTGATAGGGTGACTTTCTCTTCCTCCTCCTCTTCCTCCTTCTGCCATGAGCACCAGGCTCCTCTGCTGGGTGGTCCTCTGCCACCTTGGCATTGGTAAGTCATCAAGTAGCACTAAGCAATCAGTCCTGTTGGGAGTGTGTGTGTGTGTGTGTGTGTGTGTGTGAGCGTGTGTGTGTGTGTGTGTATAATGATTTGAAAAAGAATGTCCTTCTGTATTCCAAGGTCATACTGAATCTGGGGTCTCCCAGTCTCCCCGACACAGAGTCACAAAGAGGGGACACACTGTGCTACTCAAGTGCGACCCCATTTCTGGACACGCGCATCTTTATTGGTATAGACAGACCCCGGGTCAAGGCCTACAATACCTGACTCACTTCCAGTATGAAGTTGCTGCAGAAAAACCTGAGATGCCTGTTGAGCGGTTCTCTGCACAGAGGCCCAATGGCTCCTTCTGGACTTTGAAGATGCAGCCTGCAGAGCAGGGAGACTCGGCCCTGACCCTGTGTGCCAGCTGTCAGACACTGTGCCTCAGCCCCCTCCTTCCTGAGCACAAACCATAAGGGCTCAGCCTCTTCCCACTTCCCAGAGACCCAAACTCAGGAGTTGCCTGGCCTGCTCCTCTTCGAAGGGAATGAAGGATTTGGAACCAGAATGGAGATCTGACAGCAGGAGGACAGGAAATATCCACTGAATTACTACAACAAGGAAGTCAGGATGGGAAAAAACCGTGGCTAAGCTTTCTGACATTACAATTATAGTCAAGATTCAACATCTGGGATTGGACTTGAAAGCTTAATCTCAGACCATGAGAAGTAAGTGTTCTACTGGAAGTTTATATAATTTAACATATTGACAATAAACTTCTGGGTTGAGTGTCACTAACACTCATATACAAATTGAAGAGTTGGCCATCCAGAATAAAGTAACACTAAGACAATTTGTAGCTATCAGTCCTTTACAAAAATGTATGATTGTGGGCTGGGAAGGTGGCTCAGTGGTAGAGTGCTTACCTTGCATGCCTGAGGCCCTGGATTAGATTCCTCAGCAGCACATAAACAAAAAGAAAAAATCCAGAACTGGCGCTGTGGCTCAAGTGGTAGAGCACTAGCCTTGAGCTGAAGAGTTGAGGGACAGGGCCCATGTCCAGAGTTCAGGCCCCACGACTGGAGCCCCCCCCCAAAAAAAGTAAGATTGTAAGTAAGAATTACCGTCAAAATCAATTATCCACAAGCAATTGTCACTATTTGTAATATACCTAAAACTATGTCCATATGATACTTTATGAATTTTTTGAAAGTCATTTTTAATGTCCTCTTTTTGCTCAGTTTTATAAAATATATCTCATATGAGGTGTTAAAAGGAAGTTCACAGATCCAAACAGCAGTATCATCTACACTGTAGCTTCCTTTGAGGCTTCTAAAGTACGTGTGTCAATTTACACTCATACCAGAGGAATAGCAGACTTTCAGTTTGTTCTCTGTTAGATTTTCAATTGTTTCAGTGTTACTTGTCTATTTTTACTGGTTGTTGATTAATTGCATATATGTACATACTGCTGCATGGTAATCTAATACATATCCTCTCTTGAATAATTTAAAATAATTTTTGATTAAGCTATTGTAGTTGCACAAATTTATGGATGTTATAAATAACTATTTCCTGTTCAATATTTTGAAAATCAGAAGTTCTTAAGAACAAATCTCTCCATTTCACCTGTTTTTAGGTGGTAATCCATATTTGATACCGGTTTAAGACAATACGATTTCCAAATGACCTTGCTTTCCCATATTTCCTTGTAAAAGTTTTGAATTACCACTCTCACCACAACGACCAAAGTTATAGTTGTTAAATCCACAAAAGACAATGGAATTATGAACGTGATAACCCTACCCCACAGGTTGGATTGACCAAATTAAGAAAGGAACAAGAAAGGCATGGAAGGAAAAAGCATACCAAAATGCAGACACCAGATAAACAGTCGAATCACATCTGAGCAGTGTTAATTTTCTTATTAACAGGCATAGATGTTGCATCTAGACCACTAGACCACTAGACCATTCATTTGTGTGAATGTGTGAGGTTTGGGGTTCAATCCCCAGCAGCCCAAAAAATAATCAAAACAAGAACAAATAACTGCAACAAATCAAGATGTCCCCTAGAAGAAATTCAATCTTGCAATTATAAAGAAACAGGATAGAAAAGTAAAGAGACAGGAAAAAGTAGCATACTAATAGTAATGGCCCAAATCAAGACATTCATATCAATGTTTCAGAATAAAATATATCACTTTAGAATTAAATAATACGTTTTATTATATATAAAACATGAATTATATGTACTATGTCTATTATGTCTGTTTTATGAAAATGTATTTGGGAAGAATATTCATAATTCAAATAATTTCTAGGAATCAGTTAGAAAGAAGACATGATTCAACCTAAAAATTAGCCAAAGAGTTGATAGGATCTTTTTTTTTTCTTTTTTTTTTGGGTCCTGTCATGGGGCCTGAACTCTGGGCCTGGGCACTGTCCCTCAGCTCTTCAGCTCAAGGCTAGTGCTCTACCATTTGAGCCACAGCGCCATTTCCGGCTTTTTTCTTTTTGCTTATGTGGTGCTGAGGAATCGGTCTCAGGGCCTCATGCATGCAAGGCAAGTGCTCTACCACTGAGCCACCTTCCCAGCCCTTGATAGGATCTGAAAAATGGAAGATACACAAGCAGGCAGCTTTCTCTTCATATGACTGCTCCATTTGCTGCGGCAGCCATGGAGAAGCCTTGTTGACTGAGGGAATCCATGGTGCTTCCCTTCTGGGCATCACCAGAGGTCAAAGACAATGACTTGCCTAGGTCACAACATGCTGATGACACCTGGCATGTAATCACTCTTGGGTTTCTCTATGCTTACTAGCGTATATGAAGGAAGGAAGGACTTTTCTTCTCATTTTAGACAAGAAGGGTTGTTTCACACCTCTCTCATGTTTACAGACAAGAGCTGAAATTGCAAGAGACCATCCTCCAGTCTTCTGGGGCTGTCCTGGGGTCTGGAGGACCCTGGGGACAGCTCCTGGCTCAGGCAGTAGAGTGACATTCCAATAATGAGCAGAGCTGATCACCAGGGGGCACTGTGGCCCCACTGAGCCAGCTGCTTCCTGACTGGGAGAGTGTGGGTTCAGCCTTGGCTTGTCCCAGGCAGGGATGTGTTTAGATAAACCTAGGAAGTGCTGAACCAGGAGCCCAGAATCAGCCTCACCCCCACTTTCTCTCTCTGTTTCTCTGTCTCCCCACACCCTTCTCTCTCTTTCTCAGACCTGTGCCCTCAGTAGGGAGATGATGCCTGGGGCTGCTCCCCTGGACTCTGCCCCAGGCCCCAGGCTCCTCTGTGGTGTTGTCCTGTGTCTCCTGGGAGCAGGTGAGTCAGGGGCACTGGTAGGGCAGAGCCTGGTTGCTGGAACATCCTATGCCCTCCCCGGCTAGGCCATCATTGCTGTCTCTTCCTGCCCAGGTGTGGTGCATGCTGGGGTCCTCCAGTCCCCCAGACACCTGATCAAAGCCAAGGGAGGAAAGGCCACTCTGCAGTGCTCTCCTGACTCTGGACATAATACTGTGTACTGGTACCAGCAGGCCGAGGACCAGAGATTCCAGTTCCTCATTTCCTATTATCGAGAGTCAGAGAGAGAGAAAGGAAGCATCCCTGGCCACTTCTCAGCTCGGCAGTTCAGTGACTATCACTCTGAGCTGAACATGAGCGCCTTGGAGCTGAGGGACTCTGCGCTATATCTGTGTGCCAGCAGCTTGCACAGCCCTGCACAGGGACTGGCTTTCTCTACCCAAACCTTCCTGCCCCAGCTGAGGATGTCACTGAGGGGTGTGGGGGGCTGAGGTCCAGCCTTAGCAAACCCCAGGGGCCCTCTCCAGCTGTGGTAACCCTTCTCTGTTCTGCCCAGCTCAGACAGCTTCTGAGCCCTGTATTTCCTAACTCTCTGGACCGTCTCGGCTCTGTGTCCTAATGCACATTAGATATTATAATGGAAACCTCAGACATTAGAGTATCCTCTTTATATGTGGTAGATGTTAAGGTATCAGTTCATAGATGGAAAGCTGTAGCTCATGGATTTCATAACATTTAATATTTAAAAGGGTCAGTGCTGGGATAGAAGTGTGCATTCACCACCGCTAACCTGAAGTGCTCCTGAGGCTCTATAGTGTTTTCTGGTCTGTCCAATAGCAGATAGCACAGCAGTGTGTGTCCACTGCAAGATCAGCTGAGCAGCAACGATAAGTCCCATTATGGATTGTGGTTGCTATGAGATAGCGCCTGCCATCAACTTTCAGGACAGAGAGCATTTACCTAGAGAATGGCCCTATGATAGGTTGAAGAAGAGATACATGTTTTCAGCAAACTAAAATTTTAATTCTGTAATGAATTTCAAAATAAATGAGAATTAGATATTTATAGCTGATACTTATACCCAAAGAAATTATTCTTTCAAAGCCTATCATAATAGATAGATTACATCTTATTTTAAAATTGATCCTGGGAACTTTGATAGTCCTTCTATCTTTAACCCCACCCATCAAGAAAAACGCAAGTCTCTGCTAGACTCCAATATGTATCCTACAAAATTAAAAAGAGTAAGGGAATGATGTGGGTAAGGACAGGACAGGTGAAAATGTTTCAAGGTGTAACCTTGATCACTATACCATTGCCCCATAACTTTGTTGTTAAATGGAAAATCCTTTTAATATTTACATAAAGACAATAATTAGACATAAGTATATGTATATGTACATATGTTCAAAATAGAAATATTTCTTTCCATGGCTTGGCCCAACCATGCTTCACAGGCTCTTTTTATTGGTGTCTCTTGGGCTCTAGGACCAGCTGGGTCTTCCAAGGAAAGAGCACTAGGCTCTCATTTGATTCTGTCTACCTGCGGTGTCTAGTCCGATTCTGTATTCCTCCTCACTAGACCAAGAGGGCAGCAATGTCATCAAGATTCAGTCCCCTTGTGTGGTTGCAGGACGGAGAGCTCACAGTGGGTCATGGCCTACCTGGAAAATGATAACAGGCAATGAATGCTACAGGGAGGGATACATTTTCATGATACAGAAGTTTAGGATCCATCCATAGTATTCTATTGGTGAATGGGAATCTGTGAATGAAGACAGAGAATGTCGGCGTGATTATGGACACAGCAGTCATCTATCTTTGCTGGTCAAAATCTTCTTCCTATTAGTAATCAGCCTTCTTATACTTGGGCAGAAAGCACGGCAGAGAGACATGAGTGATCCAGGATCCATGGCTGGACTGAAACCGGGGAGAATTCCTCTCATGAGGACACCTGGAGACCTGAGCCCAGAGGGCTGCTGTCACCAGAATCACTGTGAAGCTAGATGCTGTACCCTGACCTTCACATGCTAATACCTAGCTGTCTAGTGACTTTTGAAGGCTGAGATATCTTCTCAGACTGACAGGTAATTATTTACCAATAGGGTAAATAGAAAATACTGAAAAAAGCTACTTATAGGTCCTAAGAGTTGAGATGCCTTAGAAAGTCCCAGGGCAGCAGTGCGGCTCTGCTGAGTCTGCCAGAACCTTTTATCTTAAGGGAATTTAAAGATGACCAGAGGGACAGATGTCCTTCCTAAGATTATGAAAACACTAAAATTGATATTTCCAGTTAATAAGAATTTAAAACTGGCACTCATTATGAACTGTTATATCGTGTATATGCACTGCAATTACTCGTATAAATGCAATAACCCCTGTGCATGCACATAACAGAAAGGAGTTGTTTCTGCAGGGAAGGGGCGTGGCAGGTTAGCAGCAGCCCAGGCATTGGTGGGGAGGTGATGCCA